AGGGACCCACCCACTCCCTCCCACTCCAGCCACACCCACCCCGCCGGGACCCGCCCACTCCAGCCACACCCACCCCGCAAGGACCCGCCCACTCTCGTTTCCCGTCATCCTCGTGTTGCTTTTGCACAAGTGAGCAGATGCCTGTGTTTTCCTGTCCCCATCTCTCCTGCATTACGGCAGCACGCGGTGGACACGCAGGCCTTACAGCTGACAGTACGTCCCAGCAATCACTCCGTGCTGGTTCACTGACACTGTCACCCGTCCATTGTCACAGCTGCACGGAGCTCCACCGTGTGCTGAGGCCGAGTCACTTAACCCTCTCCCACGATGGGCAGTCACGTGGCTCCCGCAATTTCCAGTGGCAAATCGTGCTTGATAAATAACCTGATGGCTGTGTATTTTCACATGGTCAGACATGCATCTTCAGAAATGCAAGGGGAGGGATAATGTGTAGTTTTGTTAGGTGTCGCCAAATTCCCCACCAGAAGGGTTGTGCCAATTTGCATCTGGTCCGGCAACACGTGACAGGGCCCGTTTCTCCACAGCCTCACCAAGTGTCGCCATTCTATTTAAGTTTTGGACAATCTGGTGAGAAACAGCATTTTATTGTCATTTTAATTTGCATTTCTCAAGTTATGAGGGACTTTGAACAATATTTCATTTGCTTAAAGGTCATTTTACATCTTTTTTTTGTAAATTATTTGTTCACGTCTTTTTCCCTTTTCGCCATCTGGTTTTAGGTCCTTTGTCTCTCATTTTTTAAAGAGCTCTTTATGTGTTCAGGATGTTACAAAGGCAGCTCTTTGCCTGCGGTAGATGTTGCAAATATTTTCTCCCAGTTTGTCAGTTCACTTTTTATTTTACGGTGTTTTCTGTCATGCAAAATAATTTTATTTGTCTGAAGTCAAATTTATGGATCGTCCTCTCTGCCTCCGGGTTATGCGTAACAGGCTTTCCGTAAGGCAGAGCTAACAAGGACTCCGTCTGTATTTCCTCCTAGTGCTCGTGTGGTTTCATTGTCCATCCTCATGTATGGAGTGAGACACAGATCTAATCTGAACCCCGACCAGACGGCACCCCAGGTGTTCCAGCGCCGTTTTGTTTAATCTCGTCGCCTTGTCACACGGCTCGGCTCCCACACAGGTAGCCAACGGCTTCTCCGCAAGCGCCTCATTGAGAACAGTCTCACCCACTTCCCTCTGCGGTAGGGTCTTCAGGGGCCGTGGGAGTATCTACCTGTGTTCAAGTTCAAAGTGGGTTTCACACCGGGGATCAACTGCGGAGGGTCCTTGACCACACAGGACTGTAAGGCCAGACCGGATCTGGCAAGCTGAACCGGGCACAGGGCCAGCATGCGGGGACTGCCATCTCCGCTCCTGGAATCGGATTCAGAAAGCGGACTGAGGCAAACGATCACACGGTCTTAAGTCAGGGGCAGTGACCGCCCTGTTTTGCGGAACAAACCATGTGTGCCAGAAAGTCTGAAGCAGCACATATGCGTTGGCGTAAAAACCACTCCTTTGTCTCATCAGAATACTTCATCAAAGACGACAGACGTCCTATTTCCTTTCAATTTCTCCAGCTAACCATCTGTGTGAGAGGCCCCTCCGGGGACACTCAACCCAGGGGATCAGCCCTGGGACTGCAGGCGTCCAGGAAGCCTTCTGCCATCCCCCTGCTCAGGCTGACCCACCGTTCGAGAGGCCATTGGGCGGGGGGACATGCTCCACCACCCCTACATGCCAGGTTCCCTCACAGGCCCGACCCACCAGACAGCAAGAACAGCCCAGAGGAACCATGAAAACAGCTTTATTATTCTGCTTTTCGTGTCTATTTCTTTGTCATGAAATTGGAACCAATGGAACATAATACCAAATGTAGGGCTTGTAATTTTCTGCTTCAAAAATGAATAAATCCCACTGTGAGTCCCAGAGCACCCTCTGCTTCCAGGCGTGGGGGAAAGAACCAGTCTCCCACGTCGGCCCCCCATGGCCCTCTGTGGCCACCCCGGCCAGGTGTCCTGCTTCTCCCCTCAGTCCCACACCTGTCTCCTCTTCGTAAAGACTGTTTCAAAGGTGGAGAGAGTGAGAAAAAAACCTTTCTGAATATAATAGGATACCCGGAAATCATCAACAAGAAAATGACAGACCTGACAAAGTCTGTATTAAACATTTAAAATGCCAAGAGTCAAACAGGAAAAATGTGCAATGCACATAACAGATAAAGGGCTAGAAAGATCACCAGCCTACCTAAACGGAAAAAAATACTGAGGAGCAACTGGGCAAAAGAGACTTGACATTCAAATGGGAGGCGCCCTCGCTCCCCTCCCACAAGACAGTCGCAAACCCAAGGACTTGTGCTTCCAGCCACGGGGGACGATGGCCCAGAAGCCCCTCCCACCCAAACCCACTGGAGAGTCGGCAGCACAGGTCAGTGGTCCCTAACAAGGCAGACGGCACCCTCGAGGACCTGTGCCTGGAATGACTGAAGGTCGGGGAGGACATGGCCAAACGCGGCTCGGGACCCCTGAGGTGACTCGGACACTGGGACACAAAGGCCAAGGCCGCTCGGAGTTGTCACAGAGCCTGACGAGAGGGAGCTGCACAGACAAGACAAACCTGCAAACAGTTAGGGTTAGAAACAGAACGTAAAATAGCTCATGAATAATTTTATGTAAATTATAGATTGAAATACTATTTTTTGCTGTATTGGGTTAAATGAATTATATTCTCAAAATTTATTCCGTCTGCTTTTAAAAAGCTTTTCAAAGTGACTACTGGAACACTTTCAATTACATATGTGGCTCAGGTTATATTTCCACTGAAATTCAATACTTGGGGGATTAAAAAAAAAGGCATATTGTCTACCAAAAAAAACCCAATTTAAATATAAATTTAAACATGTTAAAAAAGATGAAAAAGGAAATTCTGTACTAATAATTGAAAGGAGGTTGGCATGGCTACGTTAACACCTGGGGATCTGAACTTCAGGACAAAGAGTGGAACCGGGAGGAAGGGCTGTCCATGACCTTGAAGAGGTCGCTCCTCGAGGTGACAACACTCCTTAGTGTGTGCGTACCTAATCCTGGAATTCTTACGCCCATGAAGCAAAAGCACTAGGATGATGAAAAATTAGACAAATCCACAATTATAGTTAGACGTTTAAGTACTGTTTTCAGTAACTGATGGAAGCACACGAAAATCGGGAAGATGGCAGTGGTCAAGCTGACAGTCGCCAAGGCTTGACCTCATCCACGTGCGCAGACACTGCTCCAGCCAACTGAGAACACACACTCTTTTCAAGGGCACGTGATGTAACCCCCATGTACATGGAGCATAACACAAAGCTCGATAAATCTCAAAGAAATGAAATCAATGTATATTCTGAGACCATGATGGAATTAAAACCAGAAATAACGAAAAAAATCTGAAGGAAAAAAACAGATGTCAGGAAATTAAACCGCACTTCCAAATAACCCAGAGATCAAAGATATCACAAGGGAAATTAGAAGGAAAAACACACGTCAGCAGACAGGGTTCAGACACAGGGTGCCGTGGGAAAGAATCTAGGACAGTCGATGTTCGCATCAGCAATTCCAGGCAGCTCGGTCCAGTGGTCAGTCTCTGGCTGTTGGCAGGAGGCCTCAGTTCTTTGAGTGGCCTCATGACCTTGTGGCTGGCATCCCCCAGGGTGGGTGACCCACGCTGTTTTTAAGGTGACCTTGCCAAGAACAAGATGAAGTTTAAGTCTGGACGCCGGGCTGCACAGTCTCACTGGCTCCCACACGCCAGCCCGCTTCTCCAAGTTTGCACCTTTGCAAAGTTGAGCATTATCACAACGTCAGATGCCGAGCACGAGCGCACGAATTTCACGCTGTGTGGCGGGGCGAGAATAATCAAGGCTAGGAGCGCCGTCCGAGTTAAACGTGACTAGAGCCAGCACTTCCGCTGCCGAGGACACACACAACTGAAATGCTGGCCTGTGCCCGAAAGGCAGGGCGCGGACGCCCGCGGACGGCAGGCCCGGTGCGCTGCGGTGCTTCCGCGGGAGGGAGCGCTGTGGAGCCAGGAAAACGAGCGACGGACCGCCACTGCCACCGGGACGGCATGACAACTCGCACCCAGAAAGCGGAGCCAGAGGCCTGAGGCGCAGGAGGCAGGAGGATGTGTCCAGCCGGCCGGGCCTCCACGGCGGAGGGGGTGTGAATGACCCGGAGGAACTTGGTAAATGTCCTCTTTCTGGTGGGGACTGTCACGCACGTGGCGAAATTTCAGTCTGCGCATTCCAGTGCGCTCTCCGGCGTATCCTGACCTTGAATCAGAGTGGGACGAGAACTAGAACGCCTAGAATTAAGAAACACCATAACCGGATGTCTAAAAGTCAATAAACGAGTTAGAACAAAGCCCACGGAATCTTCTCCAAAGTAAAACATATAGAAACCGAAAGAGAAGGGAAAATAGGAGAAAAATTAGGGGTGTGCGTAAGAACACCAAGCCCTTGGCACCTCCACTAGCGGACGAGTCAGGAAACCGCTCTGCGGGTCCAGAGATGGCAGTGGACCCCGCCTTCTCGACAAGCCCAAGTCACAGAAGGAAGTGGGGAGAAGCCTCAAAAGATATAAAACCCTTTAAATAACTGAGTCGTCGTGGGCCTGGGTTCAGACTAACTGCAAATTTCTGGGACGACCAGGGACATGTAGGGACCAGTTTTTCAGTCACAGTGCCCCCAAGGATCCAGCTCACATCACACCAGATTTGTCAGGGCTTGCAGAGAAGGACTGACCTCAGGGGCGTGGACGGGGTTTCAGAACCGAGGAAGCCATTATCCTTGTGGGGCTGGGGAGCCAGAGACCCAGGAGGCGGCAGCCATGTGAGATGCAGCCCAGCAGGAAGGACACCCCGGCAGAGGGGCTCTATACCCCTCTCCCCGCCCTCCACGCCTGCCAGGCTCTCCTGCACACCCACTGGGACCCCCCCTTCAGTGTCCTGGGGCAGAAGGGGAACAAACGCATTTGAGTAGGCAGATGGAGACTCGCCCCCCTGGGGAGAAGGAATGGGGGTGTGGGAGCAAGGGGCAGAGTGGGTCATTGTCACGACCAGCCATTCAATAGAAACTGGTCTGTGTCCTGTGCAGATCTGACCTTGGTAAGATTGAAAATAACTCAAAAGCACCCACTGGAATGACAGGTGACCGTGGTCCCCGCAGACTCCACTCTCTGCTCCTGCCTCCTGTCCGCTGGCCTGGGCTCCACCTGTGCTGCCAGGTAGGCGTGAGCCTCCTGATCAGGAGCACGAGGGCCCAGACAGCCCCCGCCCTGCCCCAGTCTCCCTCCCAAGCTGGGCCAGGGCCCCACCAGCAGGACTGACAGCTGTCCCGCCCCCCACAGGGAGGAGTGGGTATTTGGGGGGAGGTCCACATGAATACAGGAAGAAGAGAGTTAACCGTTTCATTTTTTTTCCAAATAGATGAACCAGTTCATTTTAAAAACTACATGAATTTAAGAGATCTTAAAGAGGGGTTGACAACTTTTGTAAAAGACTAGGTGACACCCATCTCAGGCGCTGCAGGCCTTGCATCTCCCACCCAGCTGCCTGGCTCGGAGGCTGCAGCACAGGATGCAGCCCACAGACCGGAATGCACAGAATTTCATTCATGGACACCGGAATGTGAACTGCGCGTGATTTTCACGTATCGTAAAGCATTATTTCTCTTTCCATTTTTTTTGACCACTGAATACTGCAAAAACCACTCTGGACTCACAGGATCTGGCGAGATTTGGCCTGCAGGCCAGTTTGCTGACCCATCTCAAGCCAAGACACCAACGAGACCAAACGTGAATTTCTCCTAAAACCGAAAATTTGAAAGTAGATTACCGATGAGAACACCAGTGCGGCGCCGACACGGTCAGGCTCCTCCTGCAGCAGGATCCCCCCTCCCCCGCCTCCCCTCTGCCCTTGAACCAGCCCTGCCCACCCGACCCGCAGCTCGGGCCGTCCCCTGAGCACAGACGGCAGCTTTCAGATCCATGTTTAGAACAAGGCACTTGGGAAAAAACTAAAGCATTCTGGCTTTTGATACACAAAACGATTTGTTGCCAAGTACCCCACGAAACCCTACACCAAATCAATGAGCACTTCCGTCACAGAGCGCACTGGTCAAGACGGCTGTGCGCAGTGCGCTCTGAAACAGTCCCGCGAGCTGCTGCTAAACTTCCAGAAGCCGCGGAAACGCGTCTTGACTGGACCCTGGCTGACACCCGTGCCCTTGGCGATGTGTGCACAGAGTTCAAGTGGAAATAACAAACACGCCAACATCACCAACCGTGTCCCCATACCAAGTTCCGGCCTGGCTGCTGGGCCCTTGCGCAGCCTGAGACACGGCCCCTGTTGGCCAGCGCTGTCTGCTGTCGCCCGCAGCTGTGCCTCCCGAGCGGAGCCCGTCACCGCATGGGACAGAGCACACGCAGGGCTCAGGGAGGAAGAGGCACTGAGCACTTGACTCTGCTTAGGTCTCCATGGCCGAAGGACGACGGGAACCAAATGAAAATACCTATCGTGCTGGCGTAAAGGCGTCTGCTCATGATGTCCCTGAAGGGAAGCGGCCAGGCGGGTGGTGGCATCCGGGACGAGGAGGAGCACGGACACCCGCACGCACGGGGGCCGGCGTCTCCTCCAGCACGAGGAGCAAGCTCCCCCCAAGGCACCCCCTGTGAAGCTGATGCCCAGACACCTGCGCAAGAGCCGCAGCTCAGCGACAGAACGTTCCGGAGCCCAGGATTCCGTCCAGTTACTGGGAAGCCCCAGGGGTCCGCCGGGCCAGTACGGACCTCACAGCCACAGAGTGGCAGTGGGCAACGACGTCCCCCTCTTTCTTCCTGCAGGGGGCCGCGGTGGCCTTCGAAGCTGGGAGGGCGGTCCCCACGGCTAGGACAAGCAGCTCCGGGCCGCCGCGTCCCCGGACCTCACCCGCGTGGCCTGCCCGCCGGGCTCAGGGGCCGGGTTCTGGCGTCGCTTCTTGTGCAGCTGCTGCTGCAGCCGCTCCTCCTTCTTCTCCAGGTAAGCGGCCACGTTGTCGAAGGTGGCCTTGTAGAGGCCGCTGAAGCCGTCACCCACCCCAGCAGAGCCTGTGCAGGAGGAACAAGGGCAGACACCACATGGAACAGTGACTTTGGACGCTGCCTCCCGCGGGGCCGCTGAGCCCACGAGGCCCCCCTATGGCAGGGAATGAACCCAGCGACCACCCAGAGTCCTCTGCAGCCACCTCCTGACAGCCACACCAGTCAGGCTTGGACTCGCTGCCAGCAGAAAACAAGTTGGCCCTACCTGAAAGCCCGCCACCCGGTGGGGACTCCACAGGGCCCTGGGCGCCCACCCTCTGACCGGGTCCGCGCTCCCCGACTCCCGCGCCGCGCACGGCAGCTCCCCCTGCAGACCCTCCGAGGGCCGCGCACAGCCTGCGCCTGGCCCAGCGGGGCGAGCCCAAGGCGTGCGGGCGAGGACGGTGTGCGCACGTCCACGCGGGGCAGTCCGTGGGTGCCACTGCCACCCTGGGCCCCAGCCGCACTGCCACAGACCCACGGTGCCAGCGTGGCAGAGGCAGCCCTGACGGCGTCGCTGCCCAGCCCTTGGCCCGAAGGGAGGGCGGGCGGACGCGACCGAGACACAGAACCCCCAGATTCTACGTCCCCACAGCCCCTGCCGCGCAGCGAGCTCTGACCCCGCTTCTGCACGGGGCCCCCGAGCCCTCACCTTCCAGCATGGCCCCGTCCCCACGGAGGCGAGCACAGACCTTCGCCGCCACGGCGTCTTCAGGGACAGGCTGGGGGCAGACGGAAAACCCGTGTCAGAAGGAGCTGTGGCACAATCACGGGCAGACCGCCGGGGGTCCACGCTGCGGGGCCTGGGAGACCCCGAAACCCTTCGCATGAAGCCCAGACGCAGCCGCACACCGCTCCAGTTCACCCCGCACGGCAGCCACACCTCGTCAGGACAAAACGCCGTGACGCGAGGGCTGCCGGCTCATCATGTGTCACTTTACCCCAGGAGCCCGGCAGACCTGGCAGCTGGCGGCATCCTGTCCCACGCCACTTTTCAGACAGAACTACCTGAGAGGGTCACAGGCAGGCGAGCGTCTGCAGAGGGCGCGAGAGGCTGCAGGGGCCCCGGCGGGCTCGCCTGCCCTGCCCCCCGGCAGCCCTGCGAGACGCGGGACAGGAAGCAGGTGGGGGAGCTGACTCAGGAGGCGCGGGGTTCGCCCATGTCACTCAGCGAGGAGGGCCCACCACGCCCGCCTCTGCCCCTGGGGCTCCCCTGACCAGCGGGACCACCGCCCCAGGCGCAGGGCCGTGACAAGCCTGCAAACCCTGAGGACGCGCACCAAGTGTCAGCTTCTCTGCTTAAAAAACCAGTGTGACCAGGACGGTCAAGGAGAAAATATGCCAACGACAGTGACCCCGCCCCCCCGCCAAAAGTCCACTGCAGACTTCACAACACTGGACAAGCTGGCTAGGCACCCCAGTCCCCTCCTCGCAGGTGACAAACCCTACGACCATCCTCTAGGACACCCTCTGGCACCAGCCCGGGATCAAGCTGAAAGGGTGACAGCTGTCGCCCCACCACAGGCTCGGGGACCCGCAGGGCCCCGCACGTCTCACCTGCCAATGGCCGTCCACGGGCCTGCACAGCACGAGGGGAGCTTCTCGGCACTGCCGCAGCACCCACAGCCCCCGGCGCTCCTCGAAAGCGACGTCCCACACGCGCTGCTGGAAGGACAGCCGCTGTCTGTAGACCAGCTGCTGCCGGGGGGCGTCGAGCCGGAAGATGTAGACCACAGGAATGCTTCCCACGGAGAAGGAGAGGGACATCAGGACAAGCCCACGGGCCCGGTGGCATCACTCAGCACCGGCGGCAGCTCAGCTCAGCCCCGCGCCTGCCCTGAGCAGAAGCCGGGCCCTCGCCCGCCTTGGCTGCAACTGCACGAGACCCTGAGCCAGAAGCAGCAGCCAAGCCGCTCCCGGATCCCCGAGCCACAGGAGACGAGGAGCACTTGAGTCACTAAATTCTGCAGTAACTTGTGTGGCAGCAAAGACAACCAGTGCAGGGCGGAGGGGAGAGGAGGCGACCGACCCCCTGCGGGCAGCGGCGGGCGCTTCCCGGCCAGCACGCCGCCCCCTCTGCACCCGCGTCCTATTTCTAAGACCGGGAAGATGCCACCCGGGACGTGTCACGAGGACAAGCAAGGCTCAGAGCACCGAGAAGATGCACACAAGGCACAGCTGACTGGCACGTGCCACCGGAACCCATCTCATCAACCTCCGGTCCTCAGGCGGGACTGGGGGAGGCAGATTCTACCACAACGGACCCTGGGTGGGATCCGATCGCACACAAACACCAGGCGGAGCCCACGCTGTCCTTAAACGGGTGGATTTCGGCAGCGCGGGAAAGGCCACCAGCGCCCACACGGAGCCCGCCCCCACGCCACGACCTCAGAGAGCGGAACCCCGCAGGGGGCTGCGTGACAGCTCCAATGGATGCCTCCGCTTTCGGAGACGGACCGGGGCGGGAACAACCTGCGTGCCCCGCCTCACGGGCTGGCGGGTGCCGAGCTTACCTGTCGCAAAGCAGCGCCACACAGCTCTCCCGGCCCCAGTAGGCGATCCTGGACACGGCGAACCTCTGCAAGGGGAGCAGCGGCTTAGCCGCACGCGGGACTACGCGGGACCACGCGGACCCTTCGCTCTCACGGAGCAGACGCCGCGAAACTGGCAGTCCCACGTGTGTCCGGGAAGGAGGCAGTGCTAGAACTTTCTGGAAACCAGTGAGGCCCGTTTCACAGCAACTGCACCAGGCCAGGGCGGATGGCAGAAGCCTCTCCAACTGGCCCTCCGTCCAGCCCATGGAATGTCTCCCAAGTCAGTGGAACTGGTCCAAACGCAAGGACAGGAAGGGACTGACGACACAGGGGAAAGGGCCCGTTTGGTACAGACACGAGTGCCTGCGGGCACCCGCTGCCCAGCGAAGGGGTGGTGCTGGGTGCCGCCCTCCCGGCCACGTGCTCTCCTTGCCCTTGGAGGGGACTGCCATCCAGCTCGCTGCCCGGCCTCGGGCTGGGAGAGGGCACAGGGACGAAAACAAGCTTCCAGCTAAACATGGCCTCTGCCACGGCTGCCGAGGGGCCCATGACTGCGGAAACCCAAACAGCAGGTGACCATGGGGGTGGCCAGCGCTGGGGCCCGCTGACCTAGTGGCCCCTGCAGCCACGTGGCCAAGGGTCCCTGGCGCCCCGGCCTGAGTCAGGCCCATGAGGGCGGCTGCCGCACTGTCTTGGGGTGGACAGGGAGACGAGGAGCCAAGCCAAGGACGGGGCAGACGAGCCCCTCACTTCGCACCAGGTCATGTCGGACGGGGGAGAGCCGAGTCCCCAAGGACTGGCAGGGTGCCACGTGGAGATTGCAGGGCCAAGTGCACAGCACCCCTGGGGACAGGAAGGGGGCATCCTGGCCCTCGCCAACCCTGGAGCCAGCTCTGTAGAGGCGACAGCAGACCCCTCCCCCTGAGCAGGCCCGGGGAAGCTGGTGGGGCCCTCCACGTGTGACCAACCGGGACCCTGGCTCGAAGGGCAGCAGCTCAGCAGCATCAGAGCAGAGTGCCCACGAGCACAGAACCCTGGGCACCCAGAAAGGCCGCCCGCCTTCTCCCTGAAATCTCCTTGGCAACCGAAGGCCCAGGAAGCCTGACTGGGGGTCATGAGATCAACTTGTGCCGGACAATAGAGAGCGCCGAGCGGGCGCTCAGCCAGCTGCCCGGCCTGTAAACCCACGGAGCTCTCGGCTCCAGCCCCCCCACCTTTCCCACCCCCGCGGATCAGCGGGTTTCTGTAAGCGCGCTGTTCAGACTCGAACGTGAGACATGTGGATCATTCCCCCCTTCTTGGATCAGATGCCCCGGAATGTGATAAACACATGACTTCTCCTGAGCTGAAACATCTGCACTGACAGCAAAGAAACGTCCCATCGTGACACTGTCTCTCACAGGGTCCCAGGGACGAGAGAGGCGCCCCGCCAGCGGCCCCCAAACCAGAGACACGCCCAGGGTTACCTTGTCGCCCCAGGGCTCTGCCGGCTCCTGCAGGCTGGTCAGGTGACAGCAGTGCAGCTCTCGGCCGTGTCTGTACTCCCAGAGCCTCAGGGTGCAGTCCTGCAGGCAAAGGCGGGTCAGCCTGCCCCTCGGGGACGTGACACCCCCAAAGCAGCCAAGCTTCCCCCGGTCATGGGGACGGCCACTCAGCCAGAGTGCCCTTCCCAACCACGGCTCTTTGTTCTAAAGAGCTCATGCGAATCATTAAGCGGGTGACCCCACGCTGCACAATGAGTAAAGGGCACAGGACAATCTGATGCCACGTGCCAGATGACACGTCTGCTCTATTCAGGCCAAGTATGCACACACACAAACACACACACAAACACACGCACACAGAGGCACATCGATGATCGGACATTCGCACAAGGAGAAACACGAGTCAGCAGCAGAGGTGACGGGACCCAGGTCCCTGCAGGACTCAGAAAGGGTGTTTTAATTGAGAACAGTGTTATTACAGATGTGATGACGGCCCTCAGAACAGATTCTGCACACTCCTCCCCCGCCCCCCACACACACACACACACCAGCAGCAGCAGCTGAAGCC